TTCTTTAGAGTTAGACATTGTGTTTCATTTGTGACTTTCTTTCACCTAGGCCTAACTAAAATCCAGTAAAGCCAGATGCTCGTGGCTCACCCCTGTAATCCTAGCTACTCAGGAGGCTGAGATCTGAGGATCACTGTACAAAGCTGGCCCGGGCAGGAATGTCCATGAGACTCTTCTCTCCAATTAACCACCAGAAAACTGGAAGTGGCACTGTGGCTCAAGTGGTAGAGTGCTAGTCTTGAGCTGAAGAGCTCAGCACTCAGGCCCAGAGTTCAAACCCCAGGCCTGACAAAAGAAAAAAATCTGGAAAATTAAGAGGAAGAGATTTTTAGCAGGACCTTACATATAGTCCTGGGGCAAAAATCTTTAATTGTTTATGTGAATTCTGTATTGGCACTTGATTTTCTGTTAAGCCTGAAACTGTAGGACAAAGGCTACACTTCCCATCCTCCTCTGTTGTGTGCTCATGTCACTAAATTCTGACCAATGGGAGACAAGTAGTTGCTCTACGGTTTCTGGGAACATGCCATCAATGAAGGGCTTTGCCCTTCTTCCCTTCCTACTCCTGCATGGAGGACATGATGGCTAGACTTTGAGTAGCCATCTTTGATAAAAAACAAACAAACAAAACGTAGGAAAGCCAGCTGCTGATGGCTCATGCCTACAATCTTCTCAGGAGGCTGAGATCTGAGGATCAAGGTTCAAAGCCAGACCAGGCAGGAAAGTCTGAGAGACTCTTTTTTTCCCCCTCTTGGTCATCAGGCTTGAACTCAGGGTCTGGGAGCTGTCCCTGAGCTCTTTTGCTCAAGGCTAGTGCTCTACTACTTTAGCCACAGCTCCACTTCTGGTTTTCTGGTGATTAATTGGAGATAAAAATCTCTTGGGGGGCTGGGAAGGTGGCTCAGTGGTAGAGCGCTTGCCTTGCATGCCTGAGGCCCTGGGTTCGATTCCTCAGCACCACATAAGCAGAAAGAAAAAAGCCGGAAGTGGCGCTGTGGCTCAAGTGGTAGAGTGCTAGCCTTGAGCTGAAGAGCTGAGGGACAGCGCCCAGGCCCTTAAACGTGAAAAGTTTATCATATCCATGGCAATCATTTCAAATAATGAGTCTAGAGAAATGCACCAAAATGTAGAACAGCTGATGAAAAATAGTTTTTTTTTATGCTGCTGCCAGGCAAGAACACAAGCATAAATTAAAATACTGCTTTTAATCTCACAGTAAGCTATGAAGAAGTTGAATGGTGTTTTTCCTTCTTTTCTCCTTCCTTCCTTCCTTCCTTCCTTCCTTCCTTCCTTCCTTCCTTCCTTCTTTCTTCCTTTCTTTCTTTTTTGCCAGTCCTGAGGCTTAAACTCAAGAATCTGAGAGATCTTATCTCCAGTAAACTAGTGGAAGTATGATTCAAGTGGTAGAGCGCCAGCCTTTAGGGAAAAAGCTTAAGGGAGGCCCTGAGATCAAGCACCTGTCCTGGCACAAAATAAATAAATGAATGAATGTTTTTAAAAAAGAACTAAGGAAGCTGGGTGCTGGAAGTTCACACCTGTAATCCTAGTTGCTCAGGAGGCTGAGATCTGAGGATTGCAATTCAAAGCCAGCCCAGGGAGGAAAGTTTGTGAGACTCTTATCTCCAATAAAGCACTCAGAAAACCAGAAGTGGCACTGTGGCTTAAGTGGTAGAGCACCAGACTTGAACTGAAGAGCTGAGGGTCAGTGCGTAGGCCCATAGTTCAAGCCCCATGACTGACTGACCACAAAAAGAAAAAAGACTAAGGATATTGAAACAGAAAAAAAAGAACTGGACAGTGTTTTCTAGATTTCCTTTGTATGAGAGTAAAATAAACTCTCTTGCTTAAATTACATTTAGCAGATGTGAATCCTAACACAGAATCCTAGGACCTAAATTTCAGTTTACAGAGTAGAGCCAAGTCTAGGGGAAAAAAAAATAGTGCTGTAGGTAAAGCTGTCTTTACCTCCACCAGAACCTTCTACAGATTCTCCTTTTCCCTTTTGCCCTACCTTAGAGCAGAGTAGATAGGGAAAACTGAATTCACAAACATGCTACCCATGAATCCTGGGTAGGAAGGCATGTTGGGGCTCCAGGGGTCCCACATACCTATCAGGATAGATATGACCCTGATTTTATCAAACATGGCACTTGGTAGGCGTGAAAATGCTAACAATGATCTTCCCCAAAGTTATTTTATATGCTATCAAAATCTGGGGGCCATATTATAAAAAGCATTGCTTTCTACCCCTCCCTGTGTATCTCTCTCTTCCTCTCCCTCTCCCTCTCTCTCCCTCTCCCTTTTGGTTGTGAGGCTTGAACTCAGGCCTTGGGTGCTATCCTTGAGCTCTTTTTGCTCAAGGCTAGCACTTTGCCACTTCAAGCCACAGCTCCACTTCTGGTTTTCTGGTGGTTAATTAGAGGTAAGAGTCTCACAGGCTTTCCTGCCTGTGCTGGCTTTGAACTCTTGATCTCAGCCTCCTGAGTAGCTAGGATTGAGGGGTGAGCCACCAGTGCCTGGATACTCTTCTCTTGTTTTTTTTTTTTTATATTCCTCAATTTTAGAGGAATGTCCTGCTGAATTGAGTTCATTTTCCTTAAAAAGTATGAATGGAAAAAAAAAAACCCAACAGAATAAGTAGGGATGAATTGGGAATGGTGGTAAGATCCTGTAATTCTGGCAGTGGGGAACCTGAGGCTGGAGGATCTTAAGTTCAAGGCCAGCCTGAGATACATAGGCAGACTTCATCTCAAAAAGAAAAAAGTATATTGGGCTGGGAAGGTGGCTCAGTGGTAGAGTGCTTGCCTTGCATGCATGAGGCCCTGAGTTTGATTCCTCAGCACCACAAAAGCAGAAAAAGCCCAAGGTGGCGCTGTGGCTCAAGTGGTAGAGCACTAGTGTTAAGCTGAAGAGCTAAGGGACAGTGCCCAGGCCCAGAGTTCAGGGCCCACAATAACAACAACATCAAAAAGTATGACTTCACCTTTAAGAAAAATTCCTTTTCTTCTTCACTTAGAAATCTAGAAGCAATGTACCAATTGTGTCCCATTGGTAATGGTGGGGGGAAGTATAGGTATGTGTGTTTGCATAAATGTGTTCTGTTTGTGGGTGTGCATGCAGATACTCTGTGTGTGTAGGCACTGTGTGTTTGCATGTATGTTACGTGGAGTGTATGTGTGTGAATGTTATGGCACTCTGTATTTAGCCTTTGTGTGTGTGTGTGTATGTGTGTGTGTGTGGTGTGTGGTGTTTTGAGGAAATCTGCCAGGACAATGTCATAAACCCTCAACCATAAATTATCAGGCAATTCTGCAGAAGTCTTTACCAGCAACCTAATTTCAAATAAAATAGCACATAAAATTGCCATCGTCCATAAAAATCTATGTTGATAATAAAAACTTGGCATAAATATGCCATATTAACTAAGCAAATGTGATTAACAAAAAATTAGAATAAAATAAACATTAGAGTTAAATATTTACATGGCATCTCCATAATGAAATGTAGAAAATCAGTGCTAAATCACTACAAACTCATTCTCATATCTTTCCCAGATTATTAAGCAATGAATATTATGTATACCAAAAACTCACTTATATACCCAATAAAAGATTGGAGACTTGGTTTCAAAACAATGAGCACATTTATTGGGACAATGGGACAGAATGCTATGGAAGTTAGTACAGTATTAAATAACCTGGTATGCTGCATAAGGTTGCTACACAATTTCTTTCTTTTAAAATAATACTGATCAAGCCAGGCATGGTACTTTACACTTGTAATCCCAGCCCTTGGAAGGCTGAAGCAAGAGAATTATGATTTGAGGCCTGCCTGGGCTATGTAGCAAGACCTTATCTCCAAACAAAAACAAAAACAGAATAAATCCCCAAAAATATACATCAAAAAGCAAGACAGTTATCAGCAGAAAAAATAATGACCAGGCACTGGTGGCTCATGTCTATAATGCTAACGATTCAGGAGGTTGAGATCTGAGGATCCTTGTTTGAAGCCAGCCTGGGGAGGACAAATCTGAAACTCTTATCTCCAATTAACCAGCAAAAAACCTTACGTGGAAATATGGATCAAGTAGTTAGAATGCCAGCCTTGAGCAAAAATGGAGATCATGAGGTCCCAAGTTCAAGCCCCTGTACTGGTCCCTCTCTCTCTCTCTCTCTTTCTCTCTCTCTCTCTCACACACACACATGCACGCACATACTTTTCCCTACGTATCCACAGAAACTAAGAACCAGCTCAGCAAGGAGAGCAAAATGAGGATGGTATACTGGCCTCATGGAATCTCCTGAAGATGCTTTAAATGTCCTAATAAATGTGACTTGAGTCGTAGTTTAAATACAGCCAGAAAACAGATAGATGCCTTGTCAGCCATGTGATGTAAAGACAAGACCTTCTCCCCCTTTTACAAAATTCTCTCTGCAGTTTCTCTTCTTCAAGAATTTAGGTAAATTAATTTACATATTTGCATACATCAAGCTTTGGGGGCAGAACAAGAGCCACTTGCATGTGGTTGCCTGTCATATTCGCCATCTGTCCCTCCCACATTCTCATCTTCCCCCCAGTGCCTGTGGAAGCTCACCTTGGCCCCACAGGCCAGGAAAAACCCTGTCACCAGCCACCTGAGCCTTGGGCTGATGGGAGCATCCCACCCCAATCTCTGTGTGGGCATTGCCTGGGGAGGATGGGGAGTTGGGAGCGGGTGGAGCCCTCTGGTGCTTCTTTACCTGCCAGGTACTCGATGACCGCCGCCATGTAGACCGGGGCGCCCACGCTGATCCGGTACTTGAAAGTCCCTTTCTTCAGGTAGCGCATCAGCCTGCCCACCGGAAAGATGACGCCGGCCCTGGCTGACCGGGACAGCTTGGACATTTTCTTCTTCCCACTCCGCCCTGACATTTTGCCTCAGTTTCCCTCTCAGCTTGCTGACTTACTGGCCTCCTGGCACTAACACAATGCTGGAAAGGAAAAAGCAGGGTTGAGGACAGGTGGCAGGAAATGTGGGCACACATGGGCATAGTGGTGTGACCTTAGGACATTGCTGCCACTAACATCTGACTGCTAGTGCAAGGTGCTGTGGGCACAGAGCCAGGTAGGGGGGTCTTTGAAGGGAATGGGTGGCCTACCTGCAAACCAGTCTCCTCCAGCCAGCAGCTTCACTTTACAGAGGAGAGAAAATTGCCCAGCAGAGACAGGGTATAGTCCTGCAGTCAGCTGCACAATGACCCCTAAATATGACATTTTCTCAGCCCCACAACAGAGCATGTGGCTTCCTGTGACAAAGCAACTTTGTAGGTGTGATTAAAGTAAGGATCTGGAGATTAAGAAGACTATCCCAGGTGATCTGGGTGACCTCATATAATTTCCAGGGTCCTCCTAAGAGAGGCAGGAAATCAATGAGGAGGGGTGGGTGTAGGGACAGAGCCCATAGATTCTCCCCTTGGAGCCTTCAGAAGAAACCTGTGTGCCAGCACTTTCTCTATAGCTCACAGAAGAGATGATGTCAGCTTTCATACTTCAGAACTCGAAGAGACTTTAGTATTGTTCAAAACTCTGAGGCTTGAGGTCATATGTACAGCAGCAGCAGTAACAACAACAACAAAAAAAACCCCAAACACTCAAGCCAAGTGTGGTGGTGCACAACTGTAATGCCAGCATTAGGAAGGCTGAAGCAGGAGATTATGATTTTGAGGCCATCCTGAGTTACCCAGTAAGACTGTCTAAAAAAAATGACTATGTATGTATTTATATATGTGTAAATATATACGCAACAAAAAGTCTATAAAAATTATATTATCACATTAAAATTATTTTTGAGCGGGGCTGGGAAGGTGGCTCAGTGGTAGAGCACTTGCCTTGCATGCGTGAGGCCCTGGGTTCGATTCCTCAGCACCACATAAGCAGAAAGAGAAAAAGCTGGAAGTGGCGCTGTGGCTCAAGTAGTAGAGTGCTAGCCTTGAGCTGAAGAGCTGAGGGACAGCACCCAGGCCCAGAGTTCAGGCCCCACGACGGGATCCTCCCCCCCCCCCAAAAAAAAAGAGTTTCATGGACTTTTCTGCCCAGGCTGGCTTTGCACCATGGTCCTCAGATCTCAGCCTCCTGAATAGGTAGGATCACAGGCATGAGCCACCAGTGCCCAGCATAAGTACATTTCTTTTGGGACAAGGTTACTCCTTCCCTTGCTCTCTCCCAGTCCCTTCCTCCCATCCCCACCCACAAGTTGTATAGCTCATTTTCAACATACTGTCATTTTCAGCTGCTGCATTTGTTCACCCTTGTCCCTCCATTTCTGTGCGTCCTCTTACCCTCCCCAGACAGACAAATGAACAAACAAGACAAAAAAGAAGACAAAAACAACAAAGAAAAAACTCTTTTGTTTCTATTTCCTGCAGTTCATCTTGATAAATATTATTTCATAAGATCAGAGGCACCTAGGCATTGTGCCTTTGTCCAAACACCTTTTTAACTTCTTCTTTTTTTGGGGGGGGTCTGGTCGTGGGGCCTGAACTCTGGGCCTGGGCGCTGTCCCTCAGCATTTCAGCTTAAGGCTAGCTCTCTACCACTTGAGCCACAGCGCCACTTCCAGCTTTTTTCTTTTTGCTTATGTGGTGCTGAGGAATCGAACCCAGGGCCTCAGGCATGCAAGGCAAGCGCTCTACCACTGAGCTACCTTCCCAGCCCACCTTTTTAACTTCTGCAATCACATAGCATTCTTGAAAATAGAAGCGACTCAGAAGTTGTAATGGTATGGAATAAGGTATTGCAGAGTAATGACGAGAACTAGCAAATGGTCAGTCAGAATACACCCAAGGCTTCCATGTCACATTTCCTCTCAGCCTCTCTCAAAGCCAGGATGGCAAAGGACCAAGTCTGAGTATGTGATTAACTGTGCGAGGAAAGAAAATACTAAATGAACACATGGCCCATAGGACATTGGCCCAAACTGGAATTTATGTAATCTGGTTTAAAGAGTGAACCTAGAGTTGAATTTTCTGCAATGTTTGGTTGCTGTGTAGTGATGAATCATCACTACATAGCATCACTTTCTCAGCATCACCTAGCCGAGGTGAATGAGCGAGCTTGGGGCGTTTTACTACATGGCTCACCAGGTTATTATT